AGAGAAAAATGATAGAGTAGGTAAGGTAAGGAGAGAGAATGAGATTGAGGGTGTGTTTATTTAAATAAATTAAAAAATCAAGGGAAAAATAGACTTTTTATGTAAGACAGGGACCAAGCGTGTAGCAAAAACAAATAGTAGGGACCTTCCGAGTTAGAAAAATAAGTTTGGGACCAAACGCGCAAGTTACCCTAAACCATAGGGATCATTCGTGTAATTTACCCAAAAAAAAGTGTTTTGATTTTCTTTGGACAATAAGGCTATTTGATAGCAATTTATAAAAATTGGGTTATGGCCCTCCTAAATTACCAAAATTAGGGGTGAACCGGTATCGTACCGGAACCGGTATCAAGTCGTACCGAATTTAAAAATACGAGATGATACTTGGTACTCTAAATACATGAAATTTGAAAATTGGTATTAGTACTAGTACGATTCCGGTACAGTACCGGTGACGTTAATTCAGTTCGGTACTCGGGAACGGGACGAGTCAGTACCGGTTCCATCTCACGCTCATCCTTAACCAAAATCATCGAACATTTTAAACAAGCCCCTTTTTTAACACTAAAATTTTATATATAACATACAACAATTAATATTATTACTGAACTATCATCCCGTTCCCGAGTTTATCAAAAAAAAAAAAAGTTATGAGAGAAAAGAAGAGAAAGGAAAAGAAAACAAAATTTTCTTTTGTGTTCCCAAGTTTGAGAGAAGTGGAAGGAAAATTAATCATTTTCTTCTTTCCTTCCAAACCCTCCCAATTTTATTTCCTTCCTTTAATGAAACCCGAAAACATCAATTTTATTTTATTTTTATTTCCACTCATTTCCTTTCCTTTCTCTCGTTAAGTTAAACTCAAGAACAGAGATAGGAAATATGTATGTATTGAACATCTTGAATGTTTCCTTACTAATTATCCAACTTTAACGTATTTATTAAGTTTATTATTTTTTATATCTATTTGTCTCGTGAAAACTTTGAACTTAGATTTTACTTCATACTAATTAATGTTTATATGTTTTTTTTTCTTGTCATTAAAGTTGATTTAATTTGCTAAACAATAAAAATTATATAATTACCAAAAAAAATATTCATTTTCTTTTTATATATGGAACATTGAGAAACAAAATACAACCCTATAAGAATGATCAAAAGTCTAAAGCTAGATATTGGATCAACCGCTATAAGTACCCTATTAACTATATTTGCTCCGTTAAAGTCAATCAAATCAAAATTTTGATATTTGATTTGACATTATTTTTTTCTCCTATTTTGTTTTTTTCATTTTTAATTCTTTTTAATTTATAATATTATAATTATTGTTATTATATTTTATTATTATTACTATTATTATAAATTTAGCAAAAAAATTTAACGTTCGGACGACATTATAAATTCAAAAGGATTTATAAAATCGATATATATATATATATATATATATATATATATATATATTACATTTTAACATTAATATTATTACTTTTATTATTATTATAAATTTCGAACAATATTTTATAAATCGGATATTATAAATTCGAACGACTATATAAATGAAAAAACATTCTATAATGCTTGACTAAATATTTTCAATCCGCATAACACACCACTCAATTGTAATATCGTACCAACTAATATCCGTAATTAATATGGACAAACTTTGCTTTTATTCCGATTTTATATAGTCGTTCGAATTTATAATATCATATTTATAAAATGTTGTTCGAAATTTATAATATTAATAACAATAATAATAATAATATTAATATATAAAAAAAATTTAAAAACCGATTTTATAATGTCGTCCAAATGTTAAAACTTTATGCGAAATTTATAATAATAATAATAATAATAAATTGAAAAAGAATTAAAAAAAACAAAATAAGGAAAAAAATAATAAAAGACAAAAAAATCAGCTTGAGATTGGAAAATTTATATTTATATAATAATAAGGTCAAATCTTCTTTTAGAAAAACCCAGCATAAATTCAAATATTAGGTTAAATCAAAGCATTTTTCTTCAAGTGAGGCAACAAATCTTCGACGTAGAAAATTTATATTAATATAATAATAAGGTAAAACATAATTTTAAAAACATAATCTCTGTTCTAATAAAATGCTATATTTATTTATTTATTTATTTTGTATTTATTATCCTATTAGACATCTTAATTAATGTCATGCTACTTATCAACCTATTGATTTTCCATTTTAAATTTTAAATTTTAAGATTTTCATTCTAATTACATTAAGTTAATAACATAGAATAAAAATTAAAATAAAATTAATACAAATTATAAGGTAACATAATTTCATGTATTTATTAAATCAATGATTATAATTTTATATTACTAAAAAAATATCTCTTAATTAATAACTTATTGATAACTTTAAGTTTTTATTATGAAATTTTATTTACTTTTATAAATATGGTTCACACGAGTTATAAACTAGTTTTATAGTATATAATCATAAAAACAAAGATGAAAAACATATATTAAAAAAATTTACATAAAACAAAGATAAAGATCCAAAGAGATTTATAAAAATAGTTCTATAAATAAAAACTAATTTTGTAAAACAATAATTTATACAAAACAAAGTTTCAAATAAGATGTACTAAGGAATTCTTAAAAAACCAATTTAGAACTATTACTAAAAGCTTAAGAAAAAACATAATACATGATCCTATCAAAATTTATACTAAACATATCTTATTAGTATTACAATAAAATTCCTAAATACTTTTCATATAAGCATTCCTTATGGCTCAAGGAAGTCTTGTAAACCTTGGACAAACATTCCACGTCTTGTGATATGATCCAAACACGCCAGCTAGCCTTATTAGAATCAGATTAATTCACTAACAATCACCCCTGAATTTCTAAATTGAGGGTAACTATTGCATGCCAAGTAACGCTCTCATCTTTGTGAACCTTAACTGAGTTAAGTCCTTCGTAAGTAGATATGTTTGTTGCTTGTCTCCATAAACATGTTCTACTATCACTTGTTCATTTTTAAGACACTTTTGATCTTCAAAATTTTTAGAGGATTCTGAGTGACCATGAGCTTGTGTGTTACCTCGACCACGTCCACCGCCACGTCCTCTACCTCGATAATTTGAACCCCAACCTCTACCTCTTGATGATTCGCTATTTCTATTGGATGATTATCCTTTGGAATAAAGTAATTTGTTTTGAGTCATGGTTGCTTTGTCTTCTACCTTGATTATTTCTTCATAAGCTTTTTAGCGCCAACCACATCTTCAAAGCCTATCGTCTTAAGGTCCAAAACTTGTTCACAGGCTGCAACTATGTGGACAAATTGTCTAGGGAGACTCGTAAGAAACTTCTTCGCAAGCTTCTGTTCAGTCATTAACTCTCCTAGTGAAGTGGATTTCGAAGCAATTTCGAATAATTTTGCTACGAAGTTGTCTATGGTGCTTGTGTCACTCATCTTTTGATTTTCAAAATTTATGATTAGAGTTTGGAGTCTCGCTTCCTTCACTTAATTAGCTCAAAGGTTGCGAGTTTTAATCACATCCCACATCTTTTTTCCAGTTTTTAGATTACCGATTTATATGATTAAGTCTTCCAAAATCGATTGATACAACAATCCTTTCACGATGTTGTTCTTCTTCATGTCATCTAGTCTAGGATTGATCACATTCCAGACGCCATGAATCCCAAGTAGTGCGTTTCCTTCACTGGGGGTTGTGATGATTCTCCCCCTGTCATCTTCAACAGATTTCAACTTTTAAAGATTGATCCAAATCCTTGTAACCCACCACACAAAGCAGGAGACCAAGTGGTTCATTTATTTTATTATTATTATTATTATTATTATTATTATTATTATTATTATTATTAGGATCACCACACGATCTATGTTTTTGAACAAGAGAACATGTTTTATGATGGTAATTCTTGCTTCAAACACAAGCAAAAATAGGAAACAACAAAAACTACCGTACGGGAACTTCACACCTGTGTTGCAGGTTGACTACTTCTTAGGTGCATCGTCACCTGCTATCGATGGTTTTCTTTAGGTGCAAATCAGTCACAACTTCACTTGTTGTTGCAAGTTTTATCTAATATGCAAATATTTGATTTCTGATTAGGTGAAAGGTTTCGATTTCAGATCAGATATCAATTTTTGAATGCAAGAGATTAAGTGGGCTTTTTATTCACACGAGTTTTCCTGATTTCATAGAGCTCTGATACCAATTAAAAACTTAATAGAAATAAGACGAGAACTACATAACTTACTTTAATCTTTTATTGAAGAAACTTATAACTCAAAACTTCAATATGATGAAACACAATACAGGATCATATCAAAATTTATACTAAGCATATCTTATTAGTATTAAAATAAGATTCCTAAATACTTTCCATATAAGCATTCCTTATGACTCAAGGAAGCCTTATAAACCTTGGCCAACACTCCAAGTCTTGTGATCTGATCCAAACACGCCAGTTAGCCTTATTGGACTCAGATTAAATTGCCAACAGTTACTAACAAAGTTTCAGATAAGCAAAGACATCATTTACAATAAATTATTTTAAAAGACATGTGTAAAAACATAAAAATTTTAAAAACAAAAAAGAAAATATAAAAAAATTAACTACTTTTGTAAAGACGATTTCATAAAAAAACGATTTTGCAAAATGAATATAAAAGAAGTTATACAAAAAAGTTTTTTAAAATAAAACTAAATTTTAAGTGAATAAGAGAAAACATAAAACAAAAGCTATAAAATAGGTTTGGACCATATTAATTGTTGAAAATTGGGCCAAAAAACGTAAACAAAAAAAAAAACAAAAAATGAAGCTAGCTAATAGGATGTGCATGGATCAGGCTCCAGCCGGAGACGGGTTAGCAAAGACCTGTCTTTTTTACCCGTGAAAAAATAATGGAAATGACAAGAATTAGAGATGAAATCGACCTCCCTCTTTTCATGGACCCACCCAAACTACTAGGTTGGATTCCATTTACATTATGGAGGATGAAATCGTACTCGTCCTTCCCGCTACCCGCCAAACCCTTTGTGGAGGGAGCCAAACCCGCCTAAACCGCAGCCCTCCCAACCCATCTTCCTATTTTTCTTCTGCGATTCAACCCTCCAGCGGTTTCAAGAAACCGCTCAACACCCTCTTTTCTCTCTTGCTCTCCTCCCGCCCACCCCTCTCCTCCTTCCTGGTCAAACCCGCTCACTCCAACCCTCTACGATTCCCTCCTCCCTTAGGGTGTGTTTGGTTCCAGAACCAGAATAACAAAAAACAGTAAAGTTACAAATTGCATAACCGAAGACCAGGCCAGTATAATGTAATCAGTTCTAGTTTGGTTTCGGGTTTGGGATCTGTTATTTCGGTGTTAGAGCCAGTTATGACTGAAAAGGCTAGGCTAAATGTTATGGAACTATAGAAAACGAAGAAGCATGTTTGGAACCAGAAGAAAAAAAAAACAACGAGACTTTTAGTCCAAGGGGCCTGTTTAGACTATTTAAATGTATGTTTTGTTTTAGTACTTCTATTTAAATTCAAGGTATGCTTACTACGATAAGGATTAGCATTGCTCTCTATTGGTGATTTCTTTCACCAATATTATTTAAGTGTAATGGGATTAATTTGTAGACCAAAAGCAATCATTATAAATATTGAACAAGGATGATGCAGAGTGAAAACTTGTTTAAAGTTGTTAAAGAATGAAAATACATTGCTATTTAGGAACGAAGCCCGTGAACAAACATGGGTCGGGGGTAGCGTCCTGGGATCGAGGTCCAAGGGGCGGTAGCCCCTAGAAGGGTCCAAGGGGCAGAGTCCCTGGCTAGGTCGAGCTATAAAGTTCATGACTGTTGAAAACTGTCTTGTGATAGTTTTTAGACTTAAAACTATTTGCTGATAATTTTCCGAACATTTTCTTGTGACAGTTTTATGATAAGAGATGTACTTAATCAACCGATTTTTGGCTATAATTATGATGCTAACGAAAATCTCAACAATATCATTCTCTCTTCTTGCATTTCTTATGAAACTTATATAATTAAAGATTTAGGAGTACTATTAAAATACTTCAATTTGAAAGTGTTATCACGATTTTTAAAATTCCGTAGTGGTATTTCAACCCAAAAATCTAACACTCTCTACATGTATCTAAAGTACATGCCCCCATCTATTCATACTACACACAACGATATTTCACTTCAAATCTCACTTATTTTCCATAAATAATTGGCTAAAGAATTTAAAGGGGTCGCATGCATTTGAAATATCAATTAATAATTAGGTGCATTCGTTTATCTTGTAGATACATGGTTTTCATTAGTTTGTCCAACTATTATTGGTGATAAACAATAAAATCAAGACAAAATGACATTGAAGTAAAAAAACAATTTTTTGTTTGTCCAATTATTATTTGTGATGTATGTTAGATAATCTCTATAAATATGTAATATGAACATACCAAAAACATAGGTCTCTATAAAGTCGTTTCACAAATCTTCATCATTAATTTGTTTCCATCACTTAGATGTCACTCAAATGAGAAGAAAGCGTACTTGGCATATGTCTCAGAAGGACTCGGGAATTTCCATGACTGGAATATGGTGATGAAATATCAGATGAAGAATGGTTCTCTCTTCAATTCACCCTCAGCAACAGCTGCTGCTCTTATTCATAATCAAAACGATGGTTGTCTTGATTATTTAACTTCACTCTTGGACAAGTTTGGGAATGCTGGTATATCTATTTCTTTCATAGTCATCCATTTCCTATACATGAATTTTACATATTGCTAATATGTTTAAGTGATCTCAGTTCCAACAGTTTACCCTCTTGATTTATACGTTCGACTTTGCATGGTTGATACACTTTATAAATTGGGAATCACACGTCATTTCAGGGTGGAAATCCAAAATGTTTTAGACGAAGCTTACAGGTAATGTTCATAACTTTAATGCGTTAGCTAAAAGTATTTGTTCAATTTCTTAGATGGAAATATAATTAATACTATTAGCCACAAAAATAGATGTTGGGTGGAGGGGGACGTGCAAATATTCATGGATGTTGTCACTTGTGCTCTAGCCTTTCGGTTATTACGGATAAATGGGTATGAAGTCTCATCAGGTATATTTCTTACACAATGGAACAAATGGTAAGTCATTTTCACTAAATCTTCTTATTTTATTTTTTTTGTATCATCACTTGGCTTTTGCTGTAGATCCATTGGCTAAAATTACTAAAGAGGGGGATTACATGAGTTCATGTAAAGATCGTTTTAAAGATGTATATGCAGCTCTTGAAGTGTTTAAGGCATCGCATATTATATATCAAGAGGAATTGGGTTTCGGAGAACAAAATTCGATGTCGACTGATTTCCTTAAAAAGGAAATATCCACTGCTTCTAACTCTATTCACAGAGAGGTATTTTAGTATATTCGAACCCTTTGACAAGTTATATATCTCCCTTTAATTGTAATATCCACAGTTCTGAAATCTTTATAATTAAATCAGGTGGATGATGCACTTAAGCTTCCCTTCAATGGCAGTCTAGAACGCATGTCCACTAGAAGAAATATAGAGCATTACAATGTAGACAATAGATTAATATTGAAAACCACATATAGGTGAGGTATTTGGAATCCTAAAACAAAAGTCAGATTTTATATTTATCTGACTTCATAATCCTGATTACATATTGTACTCTAATGACAGTTCATTAAACATTAGCAATGAAGATTTCCTAAGGTTGGCAGTGGATGATTTTAATGCATGCCAATCTATCTATCGTGAAGAAATAAAAGATCTTGAAAGGTGCATATCTAAATTCTAAAGCCTTGTTATTGATCCTTTTTATTTTTCAATTTGTTTGTAAATCTTGTTCTCATTTTGTGTCGTTAGGTGGGTGATGGAGTTTAGATTGGATAAGCTCAAGTTTGCTAGGCAAAAGACAGCCTACTGTTACTTCTCTGCTGCTTCAACTTTTCCCTCTCCTGAATTATCAGACGCCAGAATTTCATGGGCCAAAAGTTGTATGCTCACGACAGTGATGGATGACTTCTTTGATGGTGGGGGGTCTATAGATGAACTGGTGAACTTGGTTCATACAGTTGAGAAGTAAGTATATATAGCATCCTAAATATATATGCTTTTTAAATAATCTTGATCCATATACATATAATGTTCAACCACAGATGGAATGTAGATGTCCAAAATGATTGTTGTTCAGAGGAAGTTCGCATTCTATTTTTAGCAATTAAGGATACAGCCAGTTCGAATATAGACAAAGCTTTTAAGTGGCAAGAACGAGACATAACAAGTCATGTTATTGAAATTGTAAGATGAAATCATTCGAGGCATCTCATTACTTTCGTATATATACTTAATTTCTCAGTTTTTCCCACTGAAATTTACAAAACGATGGTATTAATTAATTTAGTTATTTGTTTTATAAAACAGTGGGTGGATGTGGTGAAGAGTATGTTGAGAGAAGCTATATGGGCTAGAGATGGTTCAGTGCCAACAATGAGAGAGTATATAGAAAATGGTTTATTATCATTTGCTTTAGGTCCAATTGTGCCTCTGGCTATATACTTTGTGGGGCCAAGATTGTCAGAGGAGATCGTTCAAAGTTCTGAGTATCTCAAGTTATTTGAGCTAATGAGCACTTATGGTCGTCTTCTAAATGATATACATACCTTTAAGGTAGATGTTTTCCACTTCATCATCTTGTAAGTTTGAGCATTGCACTCATAGTGGCACAAAAGTTGCAACTTTTTGTACCACACATAAAGGTGGGACATGGACTTGTTCTGAATCTTTTATGTCTATGACATGTTCGTTATTAACAATATATAGCTCATGAAGGCTTTATCCATCTAGCTAGTCTCCTCTATGAGAATTCCAAAGATGTGAAAATACTACTACTAGAACTAACAAGTTGCATGAATGGAATGCTTGTAGAGAGAATCGAAGGCGGGGCAACTGAATGCTGTACCATTGTACATGAGTCATAGAAAGAATACTGGGATTGGGGAACAAGAAGCTGTAGAGGAGATTAAGATGCTGATGGAGAATCATAGGAGAGAAATGATGAAATTAGTGTTGGAAACAAAGGGAAGTATTGTTCCGAAAGCTTGCAAAGATGCATTTTGGAGCATGTGCAATGTGGTGAATCTTTTTTATGCAAAAGATGACGGGTACACTGGAAATGCAATCCTTGATGTTGTCAAGGAAATCATCTATGACCCGGTATACCACCGGTCAATGCTCTAAGAATAAAAATAACACAAATGATATCATGCGTTTCTTATGTGCTTATTTTCATCTTATTTTATCTTTTGAATATGTTTCTTTTTGTTTCTAGATTTTCTTCCACATTAAGAGTTTCGCACAAAACTTATTTCTTGTTGTTGAGTTGTTTTAAAAAATTACAAATAAAATACGCCTTATTAGTAATTACCTATGAAATATTACGCATTATTAGTTATTACCTATGAAATATTACCGACAGAAAAAAAAATGTTCTTATAGCACAATAAACTTTTGTTATTTGCCTGATTTGATTACTAATGTTTTTTTTTTCATAATAGATCCCTAAAGTATGATTTTACCTGTTAAACAAGGGAATTATCCAATTTGATTCCGATTTTCATTTCTTATACTTAGTCTATGTGGCTTTTTATATTTTTTTAAATTAAAAATTAAAACATGGTTTTTATATCTTTCTCTTATGTAACGATCCAATTTTCAAAAGAAAATTTTCATTTTTGATTAACCAAAATTTTTTCCACAAATCATGAAATCCTAAATACAATTGTTTTCAAAATTCATATTAAGTACAATTTTATTTCAAATTATCAGAGTATCCCATAAGAAAACACCTAAGAGAGTGCATGTCGCGCCATCAAGCATTGTCCTTGCCCTTGGGCTCAGATGTACCTAAAACAAATCTACAAACTGTAAGCTAATGCTTAGTGAGTTCCCCAGAGCATACCGCACACATAATCCACATAAACACATATCATATCAGCAATAAAAGCCACATATACCACATAAGCCATGCATACTCACATATAAGGAATCCCTGGAAACCCTCAAGGGTCTAACTCCGGGTGCCATGGGAACCCCCACATGGTCTTAACCCAATGCCTCGGGAACCCCTCGAGGTCTTGACCTAGGATGCCAGGGTAACCCTCCAAGGTCTTACACCTAAGTGCCTCGAGAACCCCCAAGGTCTTTACCTAGGATGCCGTGGAAACCCTCCAAGGTCTTATACCTAAGTGCCTCGGGAACCCCTCGAGGTTTTTCATACAAGTATCATAGATACAACTAGCATATCGCATATCACATAATCCACTAGCACATACGTAACAAATAATGGGTCGGCCTTGGTGCCTTCGACCTATTGGTATGGTGAGGAGACTCACCTCTCAGATTTTGAATTGATAAGTTAAGATCAGGTATTTCCCCACGCACTGCTCCTCCTCAAATGCCTATAATCAACATGTGATTCACTTGGCATAATCCTAATAGATATCCTCAAAGTCAACTCTGGTCCACCTTGGTCAAAGTCAAGGTCAACAGTCCATGTTGACCTCAACAGGCCGAGTTCATCTGACAACTCGTTGTTCCTCCCAGGTTTATTCCACTTGATCCCGAGCCAACTCGTCGAGTCACCTTTTTGACTCGTCGAGTTCATCAAATGTCCAGGAAGCCTAAAGTTCATTCAGACCAAAACCCTAATCCTTCATTACACTCAATCAGAAACTTAAAACGGGAAAACCCCGCCCCGACTCGTCGAGTCAACTAAGGGACTCGACAAGTTCCTTCAATCCCTTTCAGGTTCATCCCTTTCCAGTGGATCTAAGGTCCCAAACTTCAGATCTAACCTTCCCTAGTGCAGATACCACATAAAGTTTCCAACTTTACATGCATGCAAGGCCTTCCAAGGCTATATCATCAAAACTAAGCTTCCTATAAGGTTTTGGTGCATGGAAAGGGGCTAAGCTAGATAAAGTGAGCAACTTTATGTCATTGGGGACCTGGAGAGGTCCAGATCTGGAACCATACCCTTTTAATAAGTCCATATCTGAGTTTGTGTAACATCCCAAAAATACGGGCCAAAAGTTTCGTTTTTAATTAAACGATCTGAAAAAGCGTTTGTAACAAAATATCATACGATCATAATATTTGATAAAACATATCTCGTGGCCGTAAACCAAAACATAAAACATGAACATGTCAGAGTACAAAATCCCAGAATGACTCTTGGTGCGGAAATCAAAAGAGCGTGTGTGATGCGCCGTTACCATGCCAGCTCCTTCCCCTTGACAGAAGAGGTACCTGAAATGACAACTGGAAACCGTAAGCACGAAGCTTAGTGAGTTCCCCTACTGTACCACATACCATATATTCACATAGCATACATACTGCCAGGCAGTTCTGGGGTGCCCGACCTACCCGGTATAGCCATTCTAGGGTGCCGACCTACCTGTGTCAAGCCATTCTGGGGTGCTGACTACCCATGTCAAGCCGTTCTGGGGTGCTGACTACCCTTCGGTCCTAACAGCCGAACCTCGGGGACTGCTCCCCTCCTACTACCACTAACACATATAACATATCATACTGACATATAAACATATCATCACATACTGTCAGACATAGTTGGGCTGCCTAACCTACCCTTCGGTCCTAACGACCAAACTCTACTACTATCACATATCATGCCATCATATAATGTATCAGGTAGTAGAAAACCTAGATGATATCACAAAGACAATCATCTAACATACACCTCCTACTGGTGGGCCGGTATTGTGGTCGTAGACCCACCGCTATTAGAAAGCAACTCACCTCGAAAGTAGTTGCTGAAGTCTGCTTGCTAAGCACCTAACTGTTGAATCGCAAATCCTCCGGCTATAAATCATAAACATAGGTTAGCCTCTCATACACACCCTTAGGTCAATTGACTGACCCACCCCTGGTCCAAGGTCAACTCCTTGGTCAAGGTCAACTTCCAGTTAACTGGACTCGTCGAGTCCTTCTCCCATTAACCTGGTCCCACTCTACAAGTCCCTTTTCCCACTCACTGAGTCGCCCTTAACTCGCTACTTGGGACGATTGCACCGACTCGCGATCCGACTCGCCGAGTCCAAGAACAACTCGCCGAGTCCATGCGAGCAGACCTCCTACTCGCTTCCAGATCCTCATCCGAGCATCCTTCATGAGGATTTGGGCTTCTGAGACTATTGTAACTCGTTAGATTGCTAATTCTACGTGCAAACACGAAGGGTTTGACTTCCAACACTTAAACCCCTCGTACTCAGTAACAGTTCATACAACTTGCCGAGTTTGAAGAATAACTCGTTGAGTACCAGGAAATCTTCATAGGACTCACCGAATTGTTCATCCAACTCGCCGAGTCTAAGGCCATCTTCATGGAACTCGCCGAGTCCCTTGACCCATTTCCCATATAGGCCAAATCTGAGACATTCAACGCTTCAAAACCACAGATGTATGGTCCTAGGGCATGCTTAACACGTAAAGTTGCAAACTTTACGTGCATGCATGGCCCTATAAGCTCAAAAATGCAATTCCAAGCTCTTTAAGAGGTCATAGACTCAATGGGGACCTCAATCACTTCAACTGCATGAACTTTATGCTTCTAATACGTCCAATAAGTCTAGATCTGAAGTCCTTTCGGATCATTAAGCACAACACATGGAGTTTGGTGTTTTAGGGCTTGAAAACCACCAAATTGGGGCAAAATGGTATCTAATGACCTAAAGATCAAGGTAGGGCCTTTTCTACCTGAATGGAAGCTTCTCCCTGAGTAGAGTTCGGATCTACTCCTTTCCTTGCACTCTTTAACCACCTCTTTATTCTTCTAAGCTCCAAACTTCCTTCACCAAGCAAAACTCACTCACAAGAACATTATGGGGGCTAGGGCCTCTCACTACAGCTCTCTGGAAGTGCTAGGGACAAGGGAGGCCGAGTTAGTGTTCTTAAATAGGGTGTCAATACTCGGGTTAGGGTTTTTTCCCAAATAGGGCCTACTCGTCGAGTCCAAGGCTCAGACCCCGTGTCTCATCCCGCTCCTACTCGGCGAGTCTGTCCTTCAACTCGCCGAGTCCAAGGCAAAAATGCATGAATTATGAATTTTAATTACAAGAAATACGTACCGGGAACCAGGTGATACAGTTTGACTCCAACTTGCACTAAAAATGGCCATTTACTTCCAAGAAAATGGATCTAAGCAACTAGAGATCAAGGTCACGACTTTATACCTTAAGATGATGGCCAATATGAAGTAGATGTTGGATCTATTATTCCTCTCCTTGATCCTTCCTCTTCAAGCTCTAAAATCCTTCACAATGGCACAAGTTTCACTTTCTAAAGATTACACACTCTCAAGGAAGCTCAACTTTGCAGCTAGGGTTTCTTTCTGGGTTGCAAGGACGATGAGGGAGGCTACAAATGAGCCATAAGCCCTTTAAATAGGGTGGTAACCCCTGAAAACTAGGGTTTCTTTCTACAACGCCTACTCAACGAGTCAGGCCTTCCAACTCGTCGAGTAGCATCCAATTCCCACGTCCTTATAATAGTCTCTACTCTACGAGTTGTAGCTCCCAAATCGCTGAGTCCATGCACAAAACACAAAAAGTAAATCAATTGATTAATACCTGGAACAGGTGTTACATCTTAAATATTGAAACGTGGTTTCATCTTTTATACTTAGTCTATATGTCCAAACACAATCCCACATGCGCTTCATATATAATGACACAACCCCCCCCCCCTCCCTTCACAAAATCTTATATAATTCCCAGTATAAAATTTCACCTTCGATGCATTTGTCATCAATTTCATTGACCTACACAACTTCTCATCCCACACGATGACGAGGATTTCATCCTCTTCCTATTTTCTCCATCCAACAAGTAATTGATGTCATAAGTCCTCCGATTTTGATTTTTTTTATCATGTACGGTGTGAGGAAATAGTAGGGTGTACCTTTGACGGAGCCAATTTTTTCGATGAGGATGACTTCGTTGTTTGTCGATGTGATATGAGATCCGAAGATTTTGATTTTTTGTGATAATGCATTGTCGATGTAGTGGTCTCCAAAATTCAAGTACGTGTGTTGGGCTAAATGCACCAACATTGCTTTGCTTAATGATTTTGCTTCCATTTTTACTCGAAGTTTGACTTTCCAACGAGTAAATAGGCCACCATTAGTTTAAGATCTCTAGGAAACCCTGATTTTGGTTAGA